CTAGGCAAGTGTAGGTTCCTGTCTGGATTACAATTGATCCAACACGCAGTATTAGTATCACACTTAGGAAAAGGGATAACGTCTAACAGCACCCTGATATCTGTTGGTTTTACTTTCTGCCAGGTCATGCACAATTTCTTCTGTATATAATCTGCCTTGAAAAAGCTGTACATTTATTATATTTTCCTTAACTTAAAACCCCTCTTTTCACATAATGTTTCCAGCATATTGTATGATATGCTTTGTAATGTCAATGTATTCTGTCCATGTAGAATGAGCAATAAATAAAGATGTGTGTATGTGCCTGAGAGTGTATGTCTCGCAGTGAGTATCCTTGTGCATCTGTGAATGTATATTTGTGTGTATGTGTATCCATGACTGTGCCTACAATGCATATCTGTGTATCTATGTGTCAGTGAACATATATGAGGAGGGAGCTGCTTGCAGTGTTTTGCGTGTATGGTGGAGCCGCTTGTGGTTTTGTTGTGCGCATTGTGTTTACAGTGGGGCTGTGTTGTATGTGTGAGGGATAACTGTGCGAGTATGCGCAGTGGTGTCTGAGTGTTTATAAGACTAACTGTGACAGGGTGGTTGTGACACGGTGACAGCAACAGCATGAGTGTGACAAGATGACTTTGGCAATGCGACTGTGTGTGATGGATAAGTGTGGAAAGTATGGGGGGTGACTGTGTCATGGTGAACTGTGTGTGTGATATTACAGGGTTAGGGTATATGTGTTTAGGGGGTTGGGGTGATGTGACGTGGTCACTGTGTGTGGGGGAAGGGGGTTATGTGTATGTGTGTGGATGGGTGACTGTATGTGTGTGGGGGAAGTTATGGGACAGACAGTGTGTGAGGAGGTAGACTGTATGTTGTGAGGCTGTATTCCTTTGTTCAGCCTCCTCCACAGATTGCTGATTGTTGACCCCCCCCACTTATCTTTGGGCAGTGAAGGGGGCTCTGATCCTGATTTCATGGTGGTCCAGTGAATCCAGTTTCCCTGGTGGGTTGCCAGCTGATGTCTCCTTTGCTGAGTGCTGACCCTTTGGAATTCACCCTTCTGGTCTCTGACTAGCAGGCAGCATTTGCCCAGCCAGAGGGCAGCCTGCAAAGTGAGCAGCATAGTGCCATGCAGACAGAGGCGTAACTAGAAACTACAGGGCCCCGGTGCAAAAAGTGCCCTGGGCCTCCCCCCGCCCCTTGATTTGTATAATATAACACATACAGACACATACACGGACAGATATGCTAATACATAGCCACACATAGTGACACACATTCAGATACACAGAATGACACGTCTACAGATACAAACACTAACACACATACAGATACACAGACACACACTGACACACATGCAGACAAACAGATACATATACAGACATGTGCAGAAAAACAGATACACATACAGACACATATGCATACAAACAGATAATGACATACAGAACCCACAGACACACATGCGGATACACAGACACACATAGAGACACAAATGCGGATCCACAGACACACTTAGTGATAAATATTCAGATACACAGAATGACACGCATACAGATATAAACTGTGACACACATACAGATGCATAGGGGCACACACTGACACACATGCAAACAGATACACATACGGACATACAGATACCCATACATACCCACATGCAGACAGATACAGGCATAGATACACATACAGACACACTTGCAGACACACACAGATACAGACATTCACACACATACACACACATTCTCACGCACACACAGACACACACAGATACAGACACATTCTATCTCACACACACACATATACAGACATTCATACACATATATACACACATCTACCGACATTCAAACACACATACAGACACACAGATACAGAGATTCACACACACACATTCACACACACAAACTGTTAAAAAATTTAGTCACCCTTCAGTTTCCTACCTTTAGGTGCAAGAGGGTGACTTCCCTGGGGTTCAATGGCTGTCTTCAGCTGATGGGAGTCAGAGCTCCCACTCTGACTCCCTCCTCTCCCCCCTGACGCTCTCTACCCATGCGGCTCTCTTAGTTGGGAGGAAGTGATGGCTCCCCCCCCAGCGCCAGCGAGCGCTCTGACGCCATCACTGGGGTCCGGTCGCGCTCTTAAAGCACCCCAGGACTGACCGGGCCCCAGGTAATTCAATGCCTTTGGGTGGCTCCTAGAGCAAGGGCCACCCGATGGGCACCACAATCTCGGTGGGCACCAAGGTCGCAGGGGGCAACCAGGCCCCCTGGAATGACGGGCCCGGTCGTAGCAACGACCCCTGAGACCGCGGTAGTTGCGCCACTGCATGCAAGGATATCTATATATCATCTCTATATCAAAATCATTGCAAATGAAATTTGCTTGCAATGATGAATTTAGGTGAGTAGGTGAGGCGGTCATTTTTTTCCCAGCTTCATAAATATTTTTCTCTTCAGGTCATTCCTGGACTATAAAGAGATAAAGAGAGATGAGTGTAACTCTATGGTTTAAATCTAATTTTGCATTGCACAAAATGGTAGTAATAGGGTCAATTTGGTTTGAGTGATGCTACAATTATTTTCTAACTTTAACACACAGAGGAAGCATGGTTCGCAGTAGTCTAATTTAGGACATTGTGCTTTAACACCCTTAGCCAAGGAATTTAAAATTCAACACACGTCAACAAGTACTTCAAATTCAGTTGTCTTTTTGATAAAACATCACTGTGTATAGATTTATTCTGGCAAATATATACCAGAATACAGAGAGGATGGGCATACACAGATCTTCTACCAGAAATGTATTAACGGAAACTACCTGCATATTTTGACCATCTGCACTCACAAAAAGAGAACACAGGATACCAGGAAATCACTATTTAAGAGTACCACTTTTAAGAAAGTACTTCAAGAGTGGCAACAAGGACATGTCTGTTAAGTTTAATTTGGTGGAAAAGAGTTGCCATTAATAAAAAAATGTTGTTAAATAAAAAAGTTTTTTTATTTTTTTTTCAGAAATGGTTAGGTTATAAACTATAGCCCATGAGAGTCAAACACTTTCCTTGGTTTCTATGGCAAGATTGCCCTTGCCAGTTCTGCTGTTTCTCGTTTGTTCTCAGTTATGCTCCGTGGTGCTTTACGAAACGTCTGAAACCAGTCATGGCCCATCTGAGATCCAAAGGCTTTCATTGTCTGATCTACCTAGACGACATGTTGATTTTTTTGCAATTTGAGTTCATATGTTTTTGCTAGAATACTTAGGCTTTGTGGTGAACACAAAGAAATCAGTTCTAGTTCCTTCCCAAATTATTCAATTTCTTGGATGGATTCTGTTAATTGCGCCCTTTACCTTCCTCAATCCAAAATCGCTACTATTTAGAAATAGATTTGACATATCATGCGTCTCGGACAAATTCTGCTCCATCTTCTGGCACGTATAGTTAGACTCCTATTTTCCTCCATACATGCCATCTAGCTCTATATCCACTCAGAAATTCAATGGTGGCAACTACACATGCATGTCTGAAATGACAAAGCGATCTTCGGAGCTTTTCCAGATTTCATAGTCGAATCAGATGCCATTCTGTGGTATGCAGTGGTGTATCCTGGTTTTGTGCTGCCCTAGGCAGGACAAAACTCAGGCGCCCCCCTGCCCCCACCCAACCCTTCCCCCCGCCCCACCTTCTAAATACACACACACAGTTAGACACAAACACACACACACAGTCAGACACATACACAGACACAAACACAGTCAGACACACAGTCAGACACAAACACACACACACACACACACACACACACACAGTCAGACACATACACAGACACAAACACAGTCAGACACAAACACACACACACACACAGTCAGACACACACACACACAGTCACAAACACACACACAGTCAGACACACACACACACTCACAAACACACACAAACACACAGTCAGACACAAACACACACAGTCAGACACACACACACACACACACAGTCACAAACACACACACAGTCAGACACACACACACACACCTCACAAACACAGTCAGACACACAAAACACACACAGTCAGACACACACACAGTCAGACAAACACACACAAAACACACAGACAAACACACACAGTCAGACACACATACACAGACACAAACACACACACACAGTCAGACACAAACACACACACACACACATACACAAACACAGTCAGACACAAACACACACACAGAGTCAGGCACAAACAGGCACAAACACACAGACAGTCAGACACACACACAGTCAGACACAAACACACACAGACAAACACACACAGTCAGACACAAACACACACACAGAGTCAGGCACAAACACACACACAGTCAGACACACACATACACAGTCAGACACACACACAGTCAGACACAAACACACACAGACAAACACACACAGTCAGACACAAACACACACACAGAGTCAGGCACAAACACACACACACAGTCAGACACACACACATTAACTTTTTTTTTAATTTAAATCCCCCCCAACCTCCTTACCTTTGGGAGTGCTGGGGGGGGGGGTCTCTCTCCCTGGTGGTCCGGTGGTCCATTGGCTGCCGGTCGGGCGGGCGGCGCTGGCAGGCGGGTGGCCGGCGAGGGAGCACTTCCTCTGAGCTGACTGCTCAGCTCCCTCGCCCTCGTGCGCCGGCTGCAGAGTGAGGCTGGGAGCCGTGTTGATGACGTCATCTTCCGGCTCCCAGCCTCACTCTGCAGCCGGCGCGCGAGGGAGCTGAGCAGTCAGCTCAGAGGTAGAGCTCCCTCGTCAGCCGCCCGCCTGCTGCCCGCCCGCTCGCTCGGGATGTCAGTTAGCCGCAAGGCTAACTAGGCATTTGCCATGGGCATTTGGGGGGCGGCGTTTTTTGCCGCCCCCTGAAAAATGCCGCCCAAGGCAAATGCCTTGTTTGCCTCGCGGCTAATACGCCCCTGGTGGTATGGAATCCCCGCATGGAGGTCCTTTGTTGGACAATGAGGTAGGTCTTCAAAGGATTCTTTGCCATTAGCAGCTTGGCAAGGGACCTCACAGAGTACAGATGGACAATATCTCCGCTGACCAGTACATAAACTCCCTAGGCAGGGCACACTCACAAGCTCTCTGGTAGGGCACAAAAAATATTTATCGTTTCTGCTTCAGTCGCAAAATCACTCTCAAGACAGAGTACCTCCCACATGCCACCAATCTTACAGTGGATTGTTTTTCCCAGACACTGGAGGGACAACTGTAAGCGGAAGTTAGCAGAGTCGATCTTCCATTATCTCTTCCAGTTACTGTGTCCATCTTCTGATCTTTTACAACTGGCTTCCGGATCTGGACTGTTCGGCAGTGGATGCATTTCTCCAGGAGTTGCCAGTCCAAAGAGCATATGCCTTCCCCTCATTTGCAATTATTGCAAGGGTCCTGCATCAAATTTTATGTCATCCAGTATCTTTCCAGTTAATTTTTCCCTTCTGGCAGTTACCGTATTTATCGGCGTATAACACGCACCGGCGTATAACACGCACCTCATTTTAAGAGGGAAATTTCAGGGAAAAAAAACTTAAAGGACCACTATAGTGCCAGGAAAACATACTCGTTTTCCTGGCACTATAGTGCCCTGAGGGTGCCCCCACCCTCAGGGACCCCCTCCCGCCGGGCTCTGGAGAGAGGAAGGGGTTAAACACTTACCTTTCTCCAGCGCCGGGCGGGGAGCTGTACTCCTCCTCTCCTCCTTGCTCGCGACGTCATCGGCTGAATGCGCATGCGCGGCAGGAGCCACGCGCGCATTCAGCCGGTCACATAGGAAAAGCATTTACAATGCTTTCCTATGGACGCTTGCGTGCTCTCACTGTGATTTTCACAGTGAGAAGCACGCAAGCGCCTCTAGCGGCTGTCAATGAGACAGCCACTAGAGGCTCTGGAGGCTGGATTAACCTTCAGTATAAACATAGCAGTTTCTATGAAACTGCTATGTTTATAAAAAAAAGGGTTAATCCTAGAGGGACCTGGCACCCAGACCACTTCATAAAGCTGAAGTGGTCTGGTGCCTAGAGTGGTCCTTTAAATTTCAAATAAAGAACTTATTTTCCCCTTCCCCCTCTTACCCCCTTCTTACTCCCCCTCCCCCTCTTCTTACTCCCCCCTCCCCCTCTTCTTACTCCCCCTCCTTCTTACCCCTTCTTACTCCCCCCCTCCCCCTCTTCTTACTTCCCCCTCCCCCCTCTTACCCCTTTCTTACTCCCCCCCTCTTCTTGCCCCCTCCCCTCTTCCTACCCCCCCTCCCCCCCTTTCTTGCTCCCCCCTCTTCTTACCCCCTCCCCCCCTTTCTTCCTCCCCTCTTCTTACCCCCCCCTCCCCTTTCTTACTCCCCCTCTTCTTACCCTCCCCCTTTCTTGCCCCCCTCCCCCTTTCTTTGCCACCCCTCTTCTTACCCCCCCTCCCCTCTTCGCCTCCATACCTTTCTTGCTCCCCATAAAACTCTCTTCATTCCCCACTCCCCTGCCTCCCCCTCCCTCTTCTTGCACCCCCCCCTCCCGTCTATTCACCCCCCCTTCTTACCCCCCTCCCCTGTAGCGTGGCCGAGCTGCTCTGCTGTCCGCGGTGCCCGGCCGGGTGATAGGAAGGTGCACGCTCAGTGTGCACCTTCCTGTCAGTCCGACCGGGTACAGGAAACAGAAACTCCTGTTCCGCGCGGAACAGGAGTTTCTGTTTCCTGTACCCGGTCGGACTGACAGGAAGGTGCACACTGAGCGTGCACCTTCCTATCACTCCGGCCGGCCACCGCGGACAGCAGTGCGGCTCGGCCACGCTACAGTGGAGGTGAGTACCAACTGCAGCCGCCTGAGCGCTCTTGACAGAGCGCTCAGGCGGCTGCAGTATTTAAAGGGCCGACGTATAACACGCACCCATAATTTGCTCCCTATTTTCAGGGAGAAAAAGTGCGTGTTATACGCCGATAAATACGGTATTTCCTTCTGGCAGCTGATTGGACTCGTGAATATACATTCCAGGTTTTTAATTTTTGCCCGTCTTCTCACGCGTCCTTTGCTCTTTTTTTCTAGTGATAAAAATGCAAAATATGAAACCTCCTGTCATGTAATAAAATTGTAGATTATGCTAGCTTTAGTGTACTTTTAATCTGAATTTTATTAATGACAAGAGGTAAATATTTTCCTTCCCATCCCTCTTGATTTGGTTCTATTTTCTTCTCTAGTTTATTCTGTCTTGTGTATTGATCATATATGTTTTACACATTGTCTTTTTGTGTCATACATTGCAGTGTTAGGCTTGATCTCATTATAATTGTTATTATTATGGATGTTCTTCACAAATTTGATGATGTGCTTTTTAAGGTCATATTTTGGACAGCCTTAAGGTATTTCTCTTTATTTCGATTGGACAACTCTTTTGCCGATAGTTCTTCTTCCACTTCTCTATATTATGAGGATGCTTCTCTCTGATTTATATTTTATTTCTATTCTCTGTGTTATTATGTTTTATAGTTTACATCAAAGAAAGAGGAGGTGCTTATTTTGTACTGATCTCATGTAACCCATTGTTTTTTTTAGATTGATCAATAGTTTGTTATGATCTGTGCTACTACTGTAGTACAGTAGAGGTAGGTGAGCAAAATATTTTCCTCCTGTCATAACCAAATTTCAGATTACAAGTACACTAATGCTAGCATAATCTACAAGTTAGTGCCCAGTGACTTGAGTTTGACATTTATTTTAAGCAGTCACGTTCCTCACATTGATGAGGTCTGGTTATAGCCACCATCAAGAATCTCATTATATTGTTTTTATTTAAAAAAATATAAAATGCTTCTAAGATCACAAAGCAAAAAGGGTGTTAGGTGGATATTTTGCACTTTTTAGGTAATCAGAAAATATTTGTGGTATAATAACCTTTTTTTTGGGTGCAGTAATGCATATTGTTTTTTTTAAAAATCCTTCAATTAAAATATTGTTTGACAACCCTTTCTTTTTAATGCTCTACTCAAAATGTAATTATAAGCTAAATATTACTGGATATTTTACCTTATTTCATCTGTTTCAGCACTGACACTATTCAAGATACTAATAATTATTTCGCAGTCCACAAATACTTTCAGTAGAAGATAAGAGTCAAGTACAAGGTCAGATGAAGTTAGCAATGTGATTTTAAAGCTGGTAGTGTAACTATACAGCTTTTTTCTGTTATCAATGTTTGGGTTGGCTGATTCCAGCCTACAACAGCAATTTAACAAGTAAATTAAAATGTTACTAGAAGTAAATTGCATTTTTATTTGTGTTCTGTAAACAGAGGGTACAAAAAAGAACCTGGAGAGTAATGCATCTAATCATTTTAAACAGGCTTTGACTGCTATATACTGGAAAGCAACATAAACATTATTACTTAGCTATGGTTGCCACTTTATAAGTTTGTTGGAAGTACTGGCAGCTCACATAGTCAACACTACAGATGTTTCTAGCTATGTAATGTTTTATAACTTCCACGAATTTGACAAGTGAATACTACAAGCCACTTGAATTACAGATCAGTGTTTTATGACTGAGAAAAAAATGGTTAGCATATTCTAAAGATCTCTCATCCTTGAGTTTGTCCAATACAGGAACAAAGGTCTTGAACAGCATGCTACCTGGAACTGGTGGTTGGCTGGTATTTGATGCTGCAGATGTTCATTGCAACTATTTAACGCTTAACTTAAAACATTAACTCTTAAATGATTAATAGATAATGAGATTATGCCTCAAATAACTTTTGTGCAGTAGGGCAAATCTGTAAAATGTTTGAGGTACGATTTATTGTTAAACTTCAGTTTTACAAGAACCTGATCTACCATATTGACTTTTGATATCATGATGAGTAATTAAGATAAGTATCCCATTACAAACAGATGAATAAAAGATTTCAAGATGTGGATAAGTAGGGACATGAATGTTGGACAGAAACGCTTATTCTAAGGGCATGTACATAACTGGTAATGCAAGTAGGATCACTGACATGCCCAATGCTGATGTCTCCTGCTTACATTATTATTATTATTATTATTAATTATTATTATATTTATATAGCGCCAACAAATTACGTAGCGCTTTACAATAGGTGGACTAACAAACATGTAATTCTAACTAGACAAATTTGAAGCACAGGAACAGAGGGGTTGAGGGCCCTGCTCAATGAGCTTACATGCACACAAAAGGTAAGGGAAGCATAGGGAAGTAGATTGGTAGAATAGTATTCACTGAAGACTTAGTGTGTTTAAAAAAAAAAAAAATTAATAACAGTTGCTGGAGATGTATCAGTTGGGAGCCATTAACAGTCTAATTGATATGCGTTTGTGAAAAAATGAGTTTTTAATGATTTTTTTAAAGGAGTGGAAACTGGGTGAGCGTGTAACGGAAAAGGGAAGGGAGTTCCACAGGAACGGTGCAGAAACATAGAAACATAGAAACATAGAATGTGACGGCAGATAAGAACCATTCGGCCCATCTAGTCTGCCCAATTTTCTAAAAACTTTCATTAGTCCCTAGACTTATCTTATAGTTAGGATAGCCTTATGCCTATCCCATGCATGCTTAAACTCCTTTACTGTGTTAACCTCTACCACTTCAGCTGGAAGGCTATTCCATGCATCCACTACCCTCTCAGTAAAGTAATACTTCCTGATATTATTTTTAAACCTTTGTCCCTCTAATTTAAGACTATGTCCTCTTGTTGTGGTAGTTTTTCTTCTTTTAAATATAGTCTCCTCCTTTACTGTGTTGATTCCCTTTATATATTTAAATGTTTCTATCATATCCCCCCTGTCTCGTCTTTCCTCCAAGCTATACATGTTAAGATCCTTTAACCTTTCCTGGTAAGTTTTATCCCGCAATCCATGAACCAGTTTAGTAGCCCTTCTCTGAACCCTCTCTAAGGTATCAATATCCTTCTGAAGATACGGTCTCCAGTACTGTGTACAATACTCCAAGTGAGGTCTCACCACTGTTCTGAGTGAGTGAGGTCTCACCAGTGTGCAGCCCTAGAGAAGTCTTGAAAGCGAGCATCAGAGGTGGGAATACAAACAGAGGATAGATGTAGGTCTTCGGCAGAGTGTAGGGGCCTAGATGGGACATACTTGTGAACTAGGGAGGATAGATTGGTGGGAGTAGCATTATGTAGAGATTTGAAAGCAAGAACCAGAACTTTATATTGAGCCCCATATTTTATGGGAGGTTAATGCAGGGACTGACAGAGG